ACTTTGTCATATTTCAACTTAAGTTTCGGATAACATATTTTCAAACTAGTTTGAACTGAGCTTAAGTCCTTCGTATACAACTTGGCATACGGGTAATTTACACCTTTTACAGCTTATCCCTTTACGTTGAAAGTTTGTTCAAAACATATCAAAATAGGCAAGGGCATGTTCTCGTACAAATTATCCGGAAGATACCCAATGACTAAAAACGATTCGATTATAGAATGTTTCATCACTACATAGTCAGATGATACTTTCCGCCATGCCCAAGTCCAACTCAACAATCGAGGATTATCAACCCTATTGAAAACACTTGTTGAAAGCGACTTGATCTTGTGACTTTAAATCACTATTTTCAGTTGGAGCAATTTCATTGCTGGCTTACAACAAGAATTTTGGTACAAAATCTTACGGGTAAGTGATAAGTGTGTACAAAAGTAACTCGGAAGACTTCTTATTGAGCTTATACATTAGCAGCACCGTTAAGAGGCTCTGTCATGGACACTTCCTTACGATGAGTGAAGCCCCAAACACCAAACACGAGGGCTACTGCGATCAAGTATAGACCGACAACGAAGGAAATAATCGATGTGAAGCCACTCTGGACACCGCCACAGGTGAACAGAAGGCCGAGGTAGAGATAGAATGAACCACGTCCGAGGAGATGACTTAGGAACTTGGCTTGAGAGAAGATAACCTTAGACAGCTTTGATCCAGGGAACAACTCTATGAAGGTGAGAACAATACCGAATATCATAAAGAACACACCGAGAACATAAGACAAGGGATTGGTGACCATGTTGAAGAAGTTGATCATGCTCAACAAGCCGGCAACGAACGTAGCGAGGGCAGCCAATACGCCTAGGATGCGAATCAAGGCGTTACTGCCATTGGTAGTATCGGACCAAGCTCGAGAGATCTGAACGGTATACATACAAGACGAGTAATTAGGGAGGTAACTTACTTTCTCCTTCCACGTGAGATTTGGTTTCATACCAGGAGTAGTATTAGTGGCCATTGTAGCACAGTCTTTATACGAGTTGAAATTTAGGAACTACGACAAATCATTCTAATCCAAGCCCAATACGACGTCATAAAAATTACAGAATACACCGAATAAAAGTTTTCCACTAGCAACAGAAAGATGAGTCTTTATAGAAAATTAACTACTCTCCAATTCACACAATAAGCTAGCCCTGCTAGCCTCAGTAATTTCACGTATCACAGGGACAACTCGCACAAGGTCGTAATGGAAATGGTCTCATCATCAACGCATGATACAATCGATCACAATGGCGTAGCACTCAAGCCACAAAGGTGTCGCACTTTGTCTACTGCTGAAAAATCATCATGGAAAACTCTGTAAACAATACGACAACTTCTGGGCCTTCATTTAAGGATAAGGTAATCCTAATCAGCATAGCTTGTATATAACGATGATGGATTCATCGAGATTAACTCGGCAGACCCAAAGGGGGGATACGTTTTCGAATTGTCGATTGTCACACATGTGACGCGAAATAACTCTGCAATTTCCGTCTGGTTTATCAGGGATTGGAAATGCATCATACGCATACCACGCGTGTTGGAATTGACGGTTATGACAGTGTCCTCCCCGCTGTAGGCCCGATTAGCATGGAATGACCTCATTGGTGACTCCAACCCTATAATGAAGATAGTCGGCATCATTGGCGCCTTCTTAATCGTCCTCATTGCATTCTTCGGCTTCTTCAGGGTCTTCAACTCGGTAAGTTCTCAGTCTGTGTCCATCTCATCCATCCACTGTAACAGCTTCTTATCAGGTCCTCAGCCCGCTGTCATACATGCTTTCAATATTTTATATGATATTTGGTCTCACTCTCCTAGCCGTAGAAATGGCACCAACATGGTCTCTATCACAAGCCATCCTACACTGGGCTCCTTTCCTTGGTACTCTCATCGGCCGAGGCTTGGTCTATCTGTACATAGGCCTGCTGTATGTAACAGGAGGGGTTGACAGTGGGGTCACGTCTTGGACCTACCTCATTATCGGCATCTATTTACTAGTGCTAGCAATAGCGAACTTCGTAGTGGGATACATTGATAGTAAGGGTAGTCCCCATCCAACCAGCAACGTGTAAATTTGACCTCTTTGAAGTGCTTCTGCTGCAAGCGCCTCATTGGGTTGAATCAACGATTTCTAGGAAGAGTTTCAAGTTTAAATTGATGCTGTTGGATTCCTACGAGTATAATCCACGGTTAGAGGGGTACATCGATGTTCTCGCTCCTACGTTCCGTTATCCAGAGGTTTCATACTCATGTTCTGCGAAGGGAATCTCCTGAATGTACTCGGTATTCCACAATTGAGGATATATTATAGTTTGAAATCCATCGCTTTGACCAGCCTGGCATTCGTCCTTCGTGGGGTGTTACCCAGGCAGCTAGTTCGATGGGTGTTCGAGTTCGGTAGTTACGCCGGCATCCTATTGCCCTCCCAGATACTCATGACACAACAACACTGTTGAATGCTGCAGGGCTATTTCATTCGTAGAACCTCGCTGATATCGCTTGGAAGCTTGGGCGTGAGTCACGCCAATCTAATTTTAAAGATTTGAGAGCAACTCGATCTCACGCGATAACCCTTCTCAAATCGCGATAATCCTTTTTTAAATGAAAATTTGTTTTGATGAATTTTAAATTCGACGTTTTTCAACATGAGTTTCAAGTTTTGAAATTGGGGCCCGGGTTTTTTTAATTCAGAAGGCAACTTCCGACCAATTTAAATCGAAGTTGGGTATTTTTAATTATCTCGAAATCGGAATTAGATTTTTTTAAATAGAACTTTCTAAACTTCATATTAAAAGAATTCACTCGAAATTCAAGTTGGCTGGATTTAAATGCTTGGCAAGAGGTTTAAATTGGAGTCCCACTATTTCAACTTGAGGTGAAAAAGGTGTAGAAGCTTCTACAGTCTTTATTGGGGGAGTTACTATGGATAACACCCATCGGAAACCGTCAGTCCTCGGGTGAGTACCTATCACGGGTCATTAATTCAGATGCAAGGGATGAATGAACCATATCGTGAAGAACCATGAGTATTAATCTATCGATATAAAACTAACTGCTACTGTACATAATGATAGCCGAAGGGACTCCGCTCGGCATAATCATAGGGTACTGCTCGACAAGATCTTTGCATATGGCCAGCGCTTCTTGAACGAGTGCATTGTAATTTCGTTGTCCTTCGTAATAGCAACAGGAAGAGCAAATGCGTTTCAGCGTTGTGTTTGATTTGCGTCTGAAGTGATCAGCTATTGACAAAATTTCGAGTAAAATCCATTAAAAACAGTCGTTAAAAAATGCGAGATAGTATTTTTTGAAACAAATGGGTACATAACTAGAAATTCGAGAACACCAATAAATTGATCTGGGAATGCTGCAGCTACACGGTCCTTCAAAGCGCATACCTCTCACTGAGAACACTACAAGGCAAACGACTACTGATAGAAACTTGACATTGCAACACACACAAGGTTTCAGACTTCCTTGGGCGTTGCCAGCTCGAAATGATAACGGTATTTCGCCAAAACCCAATCTAGTCGATAACATAGATCTTCAACGAGCTCTGGAGAACCTGGACACGCACCTTGCAATATACCCTCCTCACTAATAAACCACCTACAGTCTGATTCTGCCAGTACCGCGTTTATAGCATCCATGACTTTTGGTTCCTTAGTGGCAATACATTGTGTCAACTCGTCGATGAAAGCATTGATACTGGCT